GCACAGAGGCATGAAGAATCTATTATCTGAAAATTATTATTTTTCTGTTTCCTGTACCTGTATCTTATCTTATCAAAATCTATAAAATCGCACTGATAACGTTGAGATCTTTATACACAAACGATATAAAATTCAAACGTTAGTTATATAAAATGATAATAATGAGTCATATTTTGCATTCCAATGGTTCTTAAGCACGTCTATGGAAATTTTCACAACGATTTTTGATATATACAATATTAAATATTGTTATAATTAGAAATGTACAGTAATTTCAATACTAATTAGCTACAGCGACAATTTTAACACATTTTTTAAAAAACATCATTTATTTTGATTCTCATTTGATTCCTCTGTTGTAATAACTTCGAGTGAAATTTTTCAGTAGCTTACAAAAAAATAAAAATAAAACATATGATCAACTATTCAATCAATCTATTTACTATTTGCATAGTAAATAGATTGAGATTGAGATTGCATATCTAATATTTTAGTATGAAGTATAAAAACAATTAAAATCAACAAATTAATTTTTCAAACATTCCTTACCAAAACTCTTAAGTACCGTAAGGTTAATTGATTTTCATGAGCAATAAACAAATAAATCGATTTTTAACATAACTCGTACCTCGGTGTTCTCCTGTTCGTTTATCTTTCAGCACAGCAAATTCATGTATTAATCCAAATCTTTCGAACAAAGGTCTTAAATCATTTTCATCTAAATTTCTTGGAATCTGTCCAATAAATAATTTTGTAAGATCCCCACAAGAACTTTCACTCGAAACACTTTTTTTAACCGGCGATGTGGGAATTAACATTGTTGTAATGGAAGAGAACTTATTTGTATATATACACTGGTACAACACGATTGTCTCTTATAATAGACAATTTCAAATGTAAAACCACATGGGCAAATAATGTAATAAATGTGGAAAGCGAATACAATTATATTAAGCAATTTTTTCTAATATTGCACTTGCTTAACCTTATCACCCACCTTGCACACGACGCACTGAAGTTCACTCCGACGAAATATTTTTTTACACTAACTAAACGATTAATTATTAACTAATTTATATTATTGTAGTATACGATTATATGTTATACACAACCGATATAGAAGCACAATGTTTTCGAAAGAAGTGTCTTGCTACATGCAGAGTCAAGTAACTGTGGATGGGAAAATTGCATTGTACCACCCCCTTCGAATAATATTGGAGGGTTGATATTGCACCAAACAGGGAAGCATTGCTTCTTTTTTCTCGCAATATTGATCGTTTAATAGAAAATAACGCGTAAACAAATTTTATTAAAACTACAAGTTCGATTTTTAACACTTTATTGATTACCGAAATTATAAATGATGTAAGAAATCGTTCGATCGATACATCAACGTCGGGGATCGGATTAATGCTAATAATAAATTTCATATTTACTGAAGAGAGCATCACTTATTATTTGTTCTTATTACGTATCAACCACATGATATAAATATTTCTTACAAGATTCTACCATACTCTTCTTTTATCTATGGATTCTACTTATGAAAATTAGGTATCTGCCACATGATATGAATATTTCTTACAAGATTCTACCATGCTCTTCTTTTATCTATGGATAATACTTATGAAAATTAGGTACCTACCACATGATTTGAATATTTCTTACAGGATTCTGCTTGTGAAAATTAGGTGCCTACCACGTAATATGAATATTTCTTACAGGATTTTACTTATGGAAATTTAAAATAATTAAAATTAAAATAATTTTTTTTAAGTCAAATAATGAATTATAAATTAATATACTATTAACCATACTCCATACTATTCATTGTTTAATATTAATGATATATTTGTTCATTAGATTAACGAGTTAATAATGTGATTGACGATTATATTTGGTATGGAGATGTAGCAGAATTTTGAGAATTGACGAGTACAACTCTGACTATTAGCTATTTATTGAAAAAATAAACAGAACATATTCTTAAATTTCAAGATATTTCGGGGCTGCGCTGATATAAAATAAATAGCCGTAAGTGGCTTTATACCTTAATAACAACATTTTACCTCGATCCTGATTATACAGAACTGTGCACACAGTTTAATGAGTGCGCCACAGTTAACTGGTTAACATATTTCAAGTTAACTCACATTAAAAAGAAATTAAATTTGAGGAAAATTTAATGATGATTTTAATGATATTTTGTATAAATATAAAGTATATAGATATACTAAATTGAATGATATACAAAGATACAGACATTAGCACAGTCAAGGATGGAATAAACGCTCTCTCAAGTACAAAAGCCGTCTCGCGGATCACTCAACCTTGCTCGCCACAAAACTCTGCTATGACTCTACCAGGGCCATATTTAAAAAGAAGTTTCTTCCGCTTAAATTCATAATTTAATAGAAAAGACCTAAGAATTAAAAAGTTAGTAGTTTTTCAAATTGTTGCTGTAGACCGTTTAAATTTTAATGAATCTTTATAATCAAACCACTTTTTTTAGACATATAATATTTCACTATGTTATATAAGATATAATTTCTGAACAATTAACACAAAGAAATAGCTCGGCCGAACTTTACCAAAATCTAACAGCACGATTTTCAACTAATAATTTTCCGAAAAGTTGTCAATTTTTCAAAATGCGTTTAAGATTGTTGCCTAATACGTTATTGAAAAATGTTGTTAATTCTGAAGAAACGTCTTGGGCTATCGTCTAAGAAAGGTAAGAAAACGAAAAATATTGACGACTTCCGTTTTTGAAAAAATATCGTCAAAATGACAAATTTTGACTCACCTAAATTAAATTTATATTAATTTTTCTTTATTATTTTTTATATTGGAGACGGCCCTGCCTGACAATTATTGCATTTGCAGGCAGCTAGATTTTGCGAGAGGGCGCCCCCGCCGAATAAAACACGATGGTGATGGTCTGCATCAATGCAAGGGATTCCAATCCGTAACAGGATGAGTAAGCTAATATGCACGGCTACACAAAGGAATTAATAAATTAGATCAATTCATTTAAACCATTCATTCCAATCATCAAGTTATTTAATAATTTGATAAAAATATTCAGAAAATTAAAATATACGATGTTACTCATCTAATGTTTATTCTGGACAATCAGCACAAAATAATATTTAATACAATAACGTCAAATTGCTAGCAATTGTAGTAGATTTACTACACCATTGTAGTAGATTTATTACACTCATTGTAGTAGATTTACTACACCATTGTAGTAGATTTACTACACTCATTGTAGTAGATTTACTACACCATTGTAGTAGATTTACTCAAACCATTGAAATACATTTACCACACTCATTGTATTAGATTTACTACACCATTGTAGTAGATTTACTACACCATTGTAGTAGATTTACTACACCATTGTAGTAGATTTACTCGACCATTGTAGTAGATTTACTACACCATTGTAGTAAATTTACTCGACCAATTGAAATACATTTACCACACTCATTGTAGTAGATTTACTACACCATTGTAGTAGATTTACTACACCATTGTAGTAGATTTACTACACCATTGTAGTAGATTTACTACACCATTGTAGTAGATTTACTACACCATTGTAGTAGATTTACTACACCATTGTAGTAAATTTACTACACCATTGTAGTAGATTTACTACACCATTGTAGTAGATTTACTACACCATTGTAGTAGATTTACTACACCATTGTAGTAGATTTACTACACCATTGTAGTAGATTTACTCGACCAATTGAATTACATTTACCACACTCATTGTAGTAGATTTACTACACTCATTGTAGTAAATTTACTAGACCCATTGTAGTAGATTTACTACACCATTGTAGTAGATTTACTACACCATTGTAGTAGATTTACTACACCATTGTAGTAGATTTACTACACCATTGTAGTAGATTTACTACACCATTGTAGTAGATTGCTACACTCATTGTAGTAAATTTACTAGACCCATTGTAGTAGATTTACTACACCATTGTAGTAGATTTACTACACCATTGTAGTAGATTTACTACACCATTGTAGTAGATTTACTACACCATTGTAGTAGATTTACTACACCATTGTAGTAGATTTACTACACCATTGTAGTAGATTTACTACACTCATTGTAGTAGATTTACTACACCATTGTAGTAGATTTACTACACCATTATAGTAGATTTACTCCACCATTGTAGTAGATTTACTACACCATTGTAGTAGATTTACTACACCATTGTAGTAGATTTACTACACCATTGTAGTAGATTCACTACACCATTATAGTAGATATACTACACCATTGTAGTAGATTTACTACACCATTGTAGTAGATTTACTACACCATTGTAGTAGATTTACTACACCATTGTAGTAGACTTACTACACCATTGTAGTAGATTTACTACACCATTGTAGTAGATTTACTACACCATTATAGTAGATTTACTACACCATTGTAGTAGATTTACTAGAGGCATTGTAGTAAGATGATCATATTTTTCTAACAATAAGTCAAATCTATTATAAAAATTTCATAAAAATTGATTTTTTTTTTTAAGTTTTCGAAAAATATTAATTTTTTTTTAATTTTAATTTTTAATATATAAAAACAATTTAAGTAACATTTCAGGGATGCGGCGGCATTTTTGTCAGTGCCTAAATACATAAATTTTATTCATTCATACTAATGTATATTAATAATCACATATATATGTGATTTCTTGATGAAACTTTTTTTTTTCTCTTAAATACATGGTTAAGTTTATGTTCATATATACTGCAGTATTAGTTTAGAGATATTTCTTTAAATAATTATAGATTACTTAGTGTTTAATTTATACGAATTATGTAATTCTTTTATTTAATTCAAATGACGCAATTTCTATTTGCATTTCTGCCGCTATCTATTCATATGATTATTATTTGAACTGAGACGGAGACGCGCCCTGTTATCGCAGTGGTGCCACCAAACGAGTGAAATACAACACAAATCAAGATGAAGTAGCTTGTCAAAATGTTGTGTTGATTAATTAATTAATTTTTATAATAACAAGTGCATTTGTTGATATGTGATGCTGTGCAGAATAAATACAAGATATGACATGTATGTAAATACTTAAATATAACTTAGATATGATTGTAATAGTAATAAGTGTTAGGTCAGAAAACAGAATACAAAAGTTAAAGAAACTTAAATTATTACATTGGTTTTTATAATTTAGACCTATTTGTTTATGCTTTTATTTAATGTGCTTTGTACTTATTATATTTTGTATATAACGAATAATACAAAATCATCACGAACTTGAAAATCTTGAAACTTTTGATTCGGTAATATTTGTCTTTAATGGCAAATTTGGGTACAAGTTATATATATATATATATATATATATATATGCATTCATTTTTTTATTATTATTAATCAAGTGATAAGTAGTGCTCTTTACATCAAGTTTCATTTCAGATTAAACGAGTGGATAAATGTAATCAATTTAACAATTAACTGTGGAGTACAAATTAAAAAATAACAATCATGTCTAGACAATTAAACCCATCGCAGCAAAAACTTGCTGAAAAATTGATCATTTTAAATGATCGAGGAATTGGCATGCTAACCAGAATCTATAACATCAAAAAAGCTTGCGGAGATGCCAAATCTAAACCTGGATTTCTATCTGATAAAAATTTAGAGTCGTCAATCAAATACATTGTCAGACGGTTTCCAAATGTTGACATAAAAGGACTTCAAGCAATAACCAATATTAAAAATGAAATAATCAAGTCTTTGTCACTGTATTACTACACATTTGTTGACTTACTTGATTTTAAAGACAATGTTTGCGAATTATTAACTACAATGGATGCCTGCCAAGTCCATTTAGATTTGACATTAAATTTTGAACTCACTAAAAACTATCTGGATTTAGTAGTGACTTATGTCTCTCTCATGATCTTATTATCTCGTGTAGAAGATCGAAAGGCTGTACTAGGCTTGTTTAATGCAGCTCATGAGATGTTGAACAATCAAAGTGATCACAGTTTTCCTAGATTAGGCCAATTGATTGTAGAATATGATATGCCTGTGAAAAAACTTGCTGAAGAATTTGTTCCGCATCAAAAATTACTTGTGAGTGCTTTGACTTCCCTTTGTACAATTTACCCAAACAGAAATCTCACTGCAGATAGTTGGAGAGCCGACCAAAAACTTAGTTTAGTAGGTAATCCTGGTCAATTATTAAAAGCATCTCTAACTGAAACCATGTCCTGTGAGTTCTTGTCTCTAGAAGTTTTGGAACGATGGATAATTTTTGGTTTTATGCTTGCGCATACAACATTACAACAGAATGATAAAGCTTTGAAAACTTGGATTGGTGCTTTAGAATCCAATTGGGTAATTGCTTTGTTTCGTGATGAAGTTATATACATTCATGCGTACATTCAAAATCATTTTGATGGTATGAAAGGGTACAGCAAACGAATTAATGAAGTGAAAGATTGTTACAATCATGCAATTCAGAAAGCAATTTATAAACACAGAGAGCGAAGAAAATTTCTTAGAACTGCGCTCAAAGAACTAGGTTTAATATTAACTGATCAACCAGGATTGTTAGGACCCAAAGCTTTGTTGATTTTCATGGGATTATGTTATGCGAGGGATGAAGTTTATTGGCTATTGAGACATCATGACAATTTACCACAACAAAAGGGTAAAAATAAGTCAACAGATGACATGGCCGATAGACAGCTTCCAGAATTGCTGTTTCATATGGAAGAATTACGCATTTTAGTAAGAAAGTACAGTCAAGTTATGCAAAGATACTATGTGCAATACTTATCGGGATATGATGCAATACAGTTAAACATTTTGATGCAAAATTTGCAAGTTGTTTGTCCTGAAGATGAAAGCTCAATTCTTTCATCATTATCCACTACCATTACTAACCTTTCAGTTAAACAGGTTGAAGACAATGAGATTTTTGACTTCAGAGCATTTCGATTAGACTGGTTGAGACTGCAAGCATATACTTCTCTTGGTAAAAGTTCTATGGCTTTGAGCAATCATCGTGATCTAGCTGTTTTCCTTGATCTGGTCACATTTCATACTAAAATGGTTGATAATTTAGATGAATTAATGGTTGAAACCTCTGATCTTTCAATATTCTGTTTTTATAGCAAAATATTTGAAGAGCAATTCCACATGTGTCTGGAATTTCCAGCACAAAACAGATTTATTATAGCGTTTCCACTGATTTGCAGCCATTTCCAAAATTGTACACATGAGTTATGCCCAGAAGAGAGACATCACATAAGGGAAAGAAGTTTGTCAGTAGTGAACATGTTTCTGGACGAAATGGCAAAGGAAGCTAAAAATATTATAACAACAATATGCGATGAACAGTGCAATATGAGTGACAAATTACTGCCTAAGCATTGTGCGGTCTTAATTACACAGGCAGTAAATCGTAAAAAGAAAGACAAAAATAAGAAAAATCTATATGAAATTTCTAATCCAGGAATAGAAAGCTATCGCAAGACTCGTGAAGATTTAACAACCATGGATAAATTACACATGGCTCTAACAGAATTGTGTTATGCAATCAATTATTGTCCAACAGTTAATGTATGGGAATACACATTTGCCCCTCGTGAATATTTGCATCAGCATATAGAAAACCGGTTTGCCAGAGCTTTGGTTGGAATGGTAATGTACAATCAAGATACGAGTGAAATAGCTAAACCTTCAGAATTATTAGTGTCAGTGCGAGCTTATATGAATGTTCTGCAAACTATCGAGAATTATGTACATATTGACATAACCAGAGTTTTCAACAATGCCCTACTACAACAAACGCAAGCTGTGGATAGCCATGGGGAGAAAACTATTGCCTCTCTGTATACTCAATGGTACTCTGAAGTACTGTTGCGCAGAGTTAGTGCAGGAAACATAGTATTTTCAATGAATCAAAGAGCTTTTGTAAGCATAAATCCTGAGGGAGCTATACCTTCAAACCCTGAAGAATTTTCAGATATCAATGAGCTCCGGGCCTTAGCTGAATTAATCGGGCCTTACGGCATGAAGCAGTTGAATGAAACACTCATGTGGCATATTGGGAGTCAAGTCCAAGAGTTGAAAAAACTTGTATTCAATAATAAAGAAATATTGATATCTTTACGAACACATTTTGATAAACCTGAAGTCATGAAGGAGCAGTTCAAAAAGCTACAAAATGTGGACAATGTTTTGCAGCGCATGACTATAGTAGGTGTAATTCTAAGTTTCCGGCAGCTGGCTCAAGAATCTTTAGTAGACGTGTTAGAACAGCGTATACCATTTTTATTAAGTTCTATCAAGGACATTAAACATCATTTGCCAAGTGGAGACCCAATGAAAATTGTTTCTGAGATGTCATCGGCAGCAGGTTTGACTTGTAAAGTAGATCCAACTCTAGCAAATGCTTTGAGGCAGCAGAAGTCAGAACACGAGGAGGATGAACATTTGTTAGTATGCTTATTGATGGTTTTTGTAGCTGTTTCTATTCCAAAATTAGCAAGAAGCGATCAATCTTTCTACCGAGCAAGTTTGGAAGGCCATACTAACAATATGCATTGTATGGCTTTAGCCATTAATAATATTTTTGGTGCTTTGTTTACTACTTGTGGACAGGGTGATATTGAAGATAGGATGAAGGAATTTTTAGCACTAACATCATCAAGTTTACTAAGATTAGGACAAGAGGCCGATAAAGAAGCAGTCAAAAACAGAGAAAGTGTTTATCTGCTTTTAGATCAAATAGTACAAGAATCACCATTTTTAACAATGGATTTATTAGAGTCGTGCTTCCCATATGCACTTATTAGAAATGCTTATCATGCAGTGTACAAGCAAGAGCAACTCGGCGGGCTATACATCTAAATATAAAAAATAATCTATATATATATATATATATATATATATATATATATATATATATATATATATATATATATATATATTATTTACTTAAATATATAAATATCAGTTTCTTTCTAATTACATAGTTTGCAAATACAGTTCAATAATATTTGCAGATATTACAATCATGCAATTCCCGCAGTCTTTACTTCGAATATTTTGATGAATTGAATGGAATATACTGATATCCATACTTATGGTCTTATTCTTTAATATCATATGTTGATATTGATTATCAAATAATCTAGCATTTCTACCTAGGTTCCAATGAACTGGACCATAAAATTATTAAATTATTCTTTAATTAGCATTAATTTTAATAATGATCAATTGCTCTTTAGTTCGATAATTATAACTTGAACTTGATTATGTTCAACATATATTCCTATTATCATATAAAATTTTTTATAATTTATTTATCAAAATGTGTAAATTGAATATATTTTACCGTATCTTTATATAATCAGACAATGTTGACTCATTATTATATATATTACTATTATTCGAATCATCAGTTTATTGTGTTGCAAGCGCACAACCCAATTGTGTAAGAGACAATTTCTAATTCATAATGAATGCAAATAATTTGAACTCATTCAGCTGGGTGAAATGATGGATATTATGTATGCCGATGATTTTATAATGTTAAAAATGTATATTATAGTCTACATCTATCTGCATTTATTTTATACATTTATACTCAACAAACTAAAAATAGCTCGGATAAATAAAATAAAATATCTTCAATTAAATACTTTTAACTGTAATTTTTGCAGTAATATTCTATACTACAGGAAAATATTGTACATCAGAAAGATAAGCTTTACATATATAAATATAAACAACTTCAACTAAAATTACATAGTTTTAATGATTATTTTCTCGTTTAGTTCTTTTTAAATACCTAATATAATATGTAACAATGCACTAACCTTTAGCAGTGCTTGATTTAATTAAAAAATGCAAATGATAGAGAAACTGGCTACTTCGATCTTTAATATAATATAATATAATAATAATAATAATATATATATATATATATATATATATATATATATATATATATATGTATATATATATATATATATGTATATATCAAATATATATATATATATATATATATATATATATATATTGAATGGTAGAGTCTTGGATTTGTGTATATTTTGTAGAGTTTCTAACAAGAATCCAAAAATAATACAAAATAAAAAACAAGAAAAGTTTTTAAAAAAACAATTTCTTTATTTAATTATTTGTTTATTGTCGACGTTTCGGAACTAGGTACGTTCCATCTTCAGGACATCTGTCAAGAAACATGATCTTGATGAGATTTTAGCAAACAATATGTTTAGGAAAAGAAAATAGATTTTTCTTAAATAATGAATTAATTGCAAAAAAAAAATATAATAATGTACAGAAATATGATAATATGTTCAAAATGAAAATGATAAAAATGATAAAAATAAATGAGTGGATTATCAGAACAGATATTAAACATAATAGAAAATTTTTTTTTTTTTTGAAAGTTATGGAAATTTTTTAAGAAAAGGTTAATGACAAAGTTGAATTAATTACCTGTATGTTTGAATATTTGTTAGCACTTTTTCACTAAACAAGCTTTTTTAACAAAAATGAATTTGTGAGTTAATTTTCCGCCGAATAATTAGATTTTGTAAATCAAAATTACTAAAAGATTTGTCTTTTTTAAAATTATTATTTGAAAACACAAATAATATTGTTCTCTGGATGTTGTTCGATTGGCTTTTGAAAATTAACTAATTGAAACTGGTGTGTCCTTTGTAACACGTGTAAACACTTGAACGAGAGATGTGAGATTGTATGTGTGTGTTTTTATATGTTAGGGTGTGAATGCTTAAATTTTTAAAAACGAAGAAGTTTTTTTAAAAACTTTTCTTGTTTTTTATTTTGTATTATTTTTGGATTCTTGTTCGAAACTCTACGAATATGTAATATATAGTTCGAAACTATATATATATATATATATATATATATATATATACATATTTGAAAATTATATTATTACAGAGTAAATATATTAAGATGAAATAAGAACTAAAATCTGTTACCGTTTGCAAGAGATATAGATTTCACAATTGAAGAAGACATGCCAGATTTTTCAATAAAGTTGAGTAAATCAAAAAATGTCTACATGTCACAGTTAATATGTTTCGCTAAAATGTTTTTGTTGAAAAATTATATCAGAACTATAAAATTATATTTATTAAATATATTCTACACTTTACTTCAGAATAAATATACATTTTGTGTATTCTCTAAAGATTATTCTTTTATACTGAATACTGAATTGAAATGTTTTATTTTTATTTTACTTACCTTTTACTATTTTCTGGTATTGTTGCAATAGTGGTGTAAACCAATTTTGGTGTTATCCTATATCCACGAACTTTTTAACACAGTTTTGTCGTTTTATTTTTATGAAATATTCAAAAATAATTATCCACGGATTTTAAACATAGTTTTTGCAGTTTTATTTTTATGAAATATTCAAAGATATCTACGTTCTATCCACGGATTTTTTAACAAAGTTTTTTCCGTTTTATTTTTATGAATTATCCAAAGATATCACGGGATTGTTAACTTCCCGTAGGGTAAGTTATTGTAATCGTCCAAAAATCGAAATTGAAAATTTTTACATTTCTCGACGTTTTGAAGGTTTCTGAACATTTTGGCATACCTCAGAAAAAATGGATGTGTGTGTGTGCATGTATGTATGGATACCGTTGGAGATGTTCTGATTAGTTTTTGGCCAAGGCAGGTCCAGCAGTTACGGAGATAAAGAGCAAAGAGTGCAGAAAATAGAAATCGAGTTTTTGAGAGAAAGGAGTATCCAATTTGAATGATCTAAAAACATTCAATTAGTAATGATTGGGGGAAGTGGTTATTAGTTTTAGGCAAAGGTAGGCCCAACCATTTCGAAGATACAGAGCTAAATGTTAAAAAAATGGCAGTTTTTGATAGAACTAAACGTCCGATTTAAGTGATTCAAAGAACTTTCTGCTTGTTTTAACAAAATAATTGATTTTGAAAAAAAATGTTTCATAATAATTTTGTTTTCAAATTAAACAATGTTACAATATTTATAATAATCTATTTGAAAACATTCAGTATTCCTCAAACATTTCGTTACGGTACGGAAAGTTCCAGCAACTTGCCTTAAGCACGATGCTATACACCCCACTGGGCACTAGTTACACTTTTTTTAAACGCTTTTCACTCAATTTGAAAATACTTAGTTAAAACCATGTCCGACTATCCATGCTTTTTGTTATACACATTTTACTCAATTTGAATATAATAAATATCAAGTTCAAACCAGTTGTATACCTTTTTACCACGGTTTTTTAATACCTTTAGTCCGTTTTCAAAGGTTAATATTTATATCACGTGATTGACCTGAAATGATTTCATAAAACTGTATGGAACAAAATAAAACATATTTGTAAAATGTGTTGTATTTTATACTTCAAATGGTTTTAGATACAATTTGACATATAGAAATATTTTGAACAAAATATTCACACTTTATACAAGAATTATATTTATGGTAAAATGTCTTTTATACAAATTTAATGTGCTGATGGTTCTTTAGATAATTATTCACTTAAAATTAAAATCTTATGATACATTCACTCTTTGTGAATAACATAATTATCTTACCTCGAGATAATGTAATTTGCAACACATCTGATTTTGTACAATAATGATTGGTCAATTCAAAATTCAAGTTAAATTATATAACAGAAAAAAAATAATTATATTTACTGATTTACATGTTATATATTAGTGATGTAATAAATTTGCAATTTGGATGAGTACTTGAGTTGCTCTCTAAGGAGAAATAAGCTTAAAAATGGAAGAGAGGTTTGAGAAAAAATCAAGAAATATGACAACGGGGGGTCTAGTAAGATATCTCATGTATTTATTTAATTATTACCTTATTATTTAATTAATTACCTCAATTAAAGAAAAACCACACCTCTCTCTTATACAGATAGCCATAGAGTAGATTTTCATTTATTTTTTAATACATTTTTTATAATGCCTATAACGAAGTTGTCTTAATGAAAAAATACGCTTCTTATATGAAAAAAAAAACAAATTAATGTTAATGTTAATGAAGGACAATTGAATTTTGTACAGATAAATGTTTCCTGGATGAAATTAAAAATATTATAATATCTGTTACCCTGGTAATTTTTATCAAAAAAGAAATATGAAATTTGGATTGATAATTCACTTTAATAAGATTTCTTTAATTATAATTAGAGAAATCTTATTAAAATGAATTATCAATCCAAATGCGTTCCAATCTTTTATTAATAGTTGTGTTTTCAGGGCTCAAATTATTTTGCTGCTATTTACAATAATAAGCTTTTACTTTATATTTATATTGGCATTTTATATCTAGTATATTTTATATGTATAATTCTTTTTGTATTATTTTCATACCAAAGTTTTTACAAACGTCATGTCTCTTTTTATTATTAACAACAAAAAAACATTGGTTGCTTTTTGTAAGTTTGTTAATGTAATAAAATTAATGTTATCTAAATTTCATAATTTATTATAGTATATATTTATTTTTAATATTTGTCTATAGTTTTGTGTACAATATATAGTTAATAAATATTTTATTGTGTTTCACTGTTATTAATATAAAGATGTTTTTTCCACATATATTCTAGACAGATGTTCATACAATGAACTCTTCAGGACGTAGTGCTTGTTTCGGAATGAGGTGTGTGTTAGATTTGAGTATGCCTATTTTGATATCAAATACTTGAATTTATAATTATAAATAACTTAAGTCGCGAATAAAAAATATTATTAATTAAATATTTAACTTAAACATGAGATTCGTGGTAAAAGGCAAGGAGAAAATTGATGCTTGATTTTAAAGATTTCTCAGGGATCATTTTTGCATATCAATTTAAATTTTATAACTTGTGCACGGTAAGTCTTGAATAAAAATAAAATTGTTATGGGTATTATTATATGGGTATGAATAAAATAGGTAGAGTCTGTATATATAAAAATGTATTGTCATTCTTTAGTTATGACTTCAAAACCAAAAAAGTGTACAAGAAATTATATACTTACACAAAATAAGATGATCAAATCTATCACTAAGTATGTACTTTAACAAAACCTGTTTTTTTTATAATTTAAGTTTACAACAACAATTAAAAACTTGCAGTGTAAATTAATAGAGTACTTACTTTAAAAAAATTCAGTATCAATATAGATATGAAGAGATGTTATTTTATTTAAATTATAATGGTTTTACTGTTGTTAAAATAAAGATTCCAACAAATCTTAGTTGGATTTTCGAACAAAGAGGCGCTCGGGTACATGCAGCGCCATCTTCGCACGCTCCGTAGTCGCACATCTACAAGTTCTTTTTGCATATCTATGGTTTATGCCAGTCTGTGGAATGTCATTGCATAAAATCATTTTCTCATCGGAGTTGGTCGAAAAAACATCGTGGAATACAGAGGGCCTCTTGCCATTTGCTGTCTGGAATATAATTTGGTATGTTGTACTAGTGCTAAGTACATTTCGCTTTACGGATTCACTAGGATTTTATTTCGTGTTCGACAGTGTTGCGTCATACTTTGTTCAAGTCTTATTAGTGTCATAGACACCGGATATATTTTATTTCATAATGTCTACTGTTAAATAAAACTGTTTAGTTGGCCTTGTGCAATATATTCGAAAAGTGATTGTGATTTGTGAATATTTTGGACTCGGTCCTGAGACTTTCGGGAATAATATAATTTATTTTATATTCACTATTGTTTATACAAATATAAAATACTATTTTTCAAAGTTTTTGCTCTAATTGGAAGACACAAAGTGAAAGTAAATCTGAACTAGTAGTTCATGTTTACTTTTATCATCGAGACTTTCGTGAGTATCTGTACAAATTGTTAAATTCTAAGTGTTATTTAAATCATTACTATCTTCTAACTCACTTCAATTTACAGATCTGACAAATTATGTACATTGGACCACAATCATTACGTCAAGAATTTTAAAGCAAAACTAGTTTATTATAGAACTGCTTTGTGTTCAATGTACTATTTTATCCACTTAAAATAGTCATTACAATTTGATTGAAAATAAAATTGGAGGAACTGCATTGCACACGAAGACAGTTTTGGTGACGTTTAATGATGTTCATCATAATTCAATACTAATTTCTGTATTTTACAGGTGCAGGTACGTTTGAATTTGTGGCATTTTGTGCAGAATCATTCAGTTTTCATGTCACTGTAATGCACTAATTGTGGTTTTATTGGAATTGCATTTGGTATGAATGTATTTATCGAACAGTGAATTTACTCAAGATATTCATTAATTGATACTTTTAGTTTTTGCTTTATCTTTTACAAATTTACGAAATCATTAAAGCATTGGCTTTCATGAATCAAATGACCATTTGCATGATTTGCGTTCTTAGTTCTCGTATCTAATAATACTAACAAATACTAACAAACACTAATCCATTCTACTACTACTAAAATATAATGTGGTCGTTTGAATCTTTTAAGTCTATGCAATGTGGATTTGAAGTATTACATTACATTTCAATTTTTATTATTTTGAATTCATGTTAATGCATTTCATATAAAACCAAGTGCGATTATTAAACTGCTAGAAACTTCCCAGAACTATATTTCTGGGCATCAAGATGAAATCACATGAAAACCACAACGTATCATATCAAATAAATTGTTAAGTATCGAATGGCCAAGTAGTATCGAGTGAAAATTCAATTTTAATTTTATTTTATTAACCAATTTTATTTTATATTATATTTATATTATATGTATATACTTTTATTCTTTACTAGATCTACTGATTTGTAACTTCATAATTTGTTTTTTAGGCATATTTGATCGGACACTGTGATTATTACACAACGGTCAACTGGAATGATACGATCAAAATATTTGGAAAGCATTCAAAGTATGAATATCTTAAAGATTTATCAAACAATGACATTTTTAAGACCATACAAACTTATTCAAGACTTATAAATAAATGCTCTTTGAAGGGGACTAAGAAGAAAGTTCAAGTAAGTGTCTAAAAATCAATATTTAGCTTATCATTATTTTCACATGCTGTTAATTTTTTATTTTATTTCATTGTTTTTATAAAATCTTTTTCATTCAAGATTGAAAATTCAAACTCTACACAGACCCCATCACGATGGATTGTTCGGTAACGCATAAACATTTTTATAAATTCTCTATACAACATCAATGTTTACATTTCTAATGTTTTTTTTTCCAGATCCTGGTTCAACTGCCAATTCAAAAATGCAAGAATATTCATTCCGACTACTTTACTAGGAATCTCTCTAGAAACATTTAATCAGGTGTGTGTTTATCCATAACCAGTATAAATGCAAACATTGCTAAAATATTTCTTTTTTTTCTTAGGTCCTTTCAACTTCTGCTGCTCTGCACACTAACTCCTTCACCAGAAACATTTAATCAGGTGCGTGTTTTATCCATAATGAGTATAAATGCAAACATTGCCAAAATATTACTTTTTTTTTTCTCAGGTTCTTTCAACTTCTGCTGCTCTGCACACAGACTCCTTCACCAGGAACATTTAATCAGGTATGCGTTTATCCATAACCAGTATAAATGCAAACATTGCTAAAATATTTTTTTTTTTTTTCTCAGGTCCTTTCAACTTCTGCTGCTCTGCACACAGACTCCTTCACCAGGAACATTTAATCAGGTATGTGTTTATCCATAACCAGTATAAATGCAAACATTGCTAAATATTTCTTTTTTTTCTCAGGTCCTTTCAACTTCTGCTGCTCTGCACACAGACTCCTTCACCAGGAACATTTAATCAGGTGTGTGTTTATCCATAAACAGTATAAATGCAAACTTTATTAAAATGTTTCTTTTTTTGCAGATTTTCAAAATTTTTCCTGATGCTCAAAACATCATGAGTTTGGAGAACTCATTCATGTAAATGATTCGCAAGTGTTTTTTTTTAATAACTGCCTATAATTATGCATGATTAACTTAACTCTTACTAAATCACTAACACGACTAACCTCACTAACTTAATCAGTTATTATATAAAACCACTTGCTGAGTTTTACAATGAATGTCTTGCTGAGGTTGCTTGAAAGACAGCGCTGATTGATTTATCAGGTAATTTTTTTTTATAGTATATTTATGAGACTTGTTACTAATTCTTGTTTTTGTTCATAGGGTAACGACAACTTCAAACCAAATAGTCTTCAACTCTCAAATTACTCAAGACTTGTTCTCCAGCAAAAACAATCGCTCGAACTACTAATTATATCGTCCCAAGTAACTACCACCGTCTTGTCGTCAGGGAAGGTGTCTACTGTGATATTATATAGATTAGTTAAGTGCATAAATGTTAATGAAATAATGAATAAATATATTGTATTTAATTCAATTTGTTGTTTTAATTTAATTATGAGCCATTTACGGCCAAATTACATTATGCTGTAACGTAAATTACTAATATTTAAACATTTTTCTAACTTAATAACAAAATTTCTTGTGTTATCAATAGGGATACTTATTAAGTGCACTTTTTAGTGTAGACATTGTGCAAAGAATTTCTTTACTGTTTGGGTGTTTGCAACCATCTTGCCGCATCTTGGTTAAGCTCTTTATACCTTTGCTTTGACTCGGTAAGTAACGCGTTGACAATGGACTTTTTTGCTTTTTTCAAACACTTATGTTAGTCGAGTGCCTTAAACATTTAATACGTCGGACTGATGTTTTCTCTTGTTTAAATATTACACTTTCTATTATTTCTTTAAATGGTGCACTCTTTTTCTTAGCTATAACTATCACTTAATTTAATATCACCATGTGTTAATATTATATATATATATATATATATATATATATAATATATATATTTATTATTTTATATTCTACAAAAACATATGTCTGCCGGTCTTTTTTACACTTCTCAAAAAAATTGTAAACCAATTCATTCAGTTTTTAGACGTTAGTCAATTTGTACACACTAGATGTAAGCAAAATTGTCTAAAAAATTAATTAGTTTAAATGTTCCAATTATTAATAGCCTGGTTATCACAGTGTAATAGTGTAGTGTATTTTTGTATAATAATTCTGTAAGTACTTATATATATTTATAACTTTATATTTTGCCTCCTACATCATATAAAATCTTTTAGTTTTCCACTGAATGACGGTCTCGATGAGACCGAAACGTATGGATAAATAAAGTATTTAAAAACTACTTTAGTTTTTTTCTTTTACTTGGTGTTACTACTGCCCCGATTCTAAATAACTCATCAAAATATATTTCAACACCAAACTCACATATTTCAAAATATATATTATATTATATATATAATATATATATATATATATATATATACTATGATATGTATAACACATATTTTGACGTTGAGATATATGAGTAAGTTCATGAGGGCGATACATCAAACAGAGAAATTTCTTTGTTAAGAATCGCCCTCATAGAATATAATATATATATATATATATATATATATATATATATATATATATATACTATAATATAATATAAAATATATTATACCTTTAGACAAATGTTAATGTATTTTAGTCGTTTTCATTACTGCAATTGTAAGAATAAATTAATATAATTGTATTATTAAATACTGTGATACAATAAGAGTTTTGAATAAAACTAACTAAACTTTATTTGGAGTGTTTCATTTCACACCATTTTCAGTATTATATATATTAGAAACACACCGTACAGGTGCAGGTACTATTAACTGATAAGCTAATGTTATCATAAACATTAATATACTCATTAATTCGTTCTTCGAAGAGGATTTAATATTTTGGATAAATTTCATATAATATAATTTTGTAATCTAATTCTATGATGATTAATATTGTTAATGTAGTTATAAATTTGGCCATTTTAAATAGACTAATCTATGGTTTTTCACTCATTTTTCAATCACTTTAATCTATTATACTATTATTTAAAGTCTTAATTAGTTCATTTTAATTATTATACTTTGAATATTGGTAAGTTTTACTTATCTATACTTATAAAAAAAAATTACTTAACTATAACTTGTGAAAAAAAATTCAAGTTCTCAGTCTTGTGTTATTTTCTTCTTTTGCACAAGAATATCTTCATTATTATTAATATATGTTAATTTTTATTCGCTTAATTATTACATTAATTACATTCATATTCTTACCATATTTACCCTACCATCTCCTATTTTACTTTACACTACCTTACCATAACCTTACACTACCTTTACCTAATACTTACCTACGTTAAGAACTAACTAATGTACTCTTACCTTGCTTACCTTACCACGTCTCGAACCTGCTACCCTGTCCTCTCCAGCGACTCCCACCTCCCAACGCGCGACGCCACGACGATCACATTAATAAACCGTTACAAAGTAGGTGATATTATATATTTTAAACGAAAAAAAACTAACAGGTCATATGGCCAAAAAAATTTGAGTTGGTATGGCCTGTGTTGGCGTAATTGGTAGAGTGATGGCTTCGTACCGTAAAGGTACCGAGTTCGAATCATACATCAGGACAAAAAACGGAAAGAAGTAGTGCTGTTCGCGTTGAGGAATTTATTTATTGTAAGATAGCACAAAGACAAAATTTAGATTTAATAAACTAAGAGGTCATGAGGCCGAAAAAAAGCAGATTCGGTGTGGCCTGTGTTGGCGTAATTGGTAGAGTGATGGATTCGTACCCAAAGAGTGCCGAGTTCGAATCATACCTCGGTACAAAAAATGGAAAGCGTGGAATTTATTTATTGTAAGATAGCACAAAAATAAAATTTAGATTTAATAAACTAACAGGTCATGAGGCCGAAAAAAAGCAGATTCGGTGTGGCCTGTGTTGGCGTATTGCTAGCGTGCTAGCTTCATGTCAACAGGGTACCGAGTTCGATTCATACCTCCGGACACAAAACGCAAAATAGCGTGCCTGTTGACGCTGTGGAACGAGGTATGCACGGAATCACATCCGTTCGAATTTGAGACCCCAGGCAGGCATGCTCCCCTCGATCTCGATTGAGAGGAGAGATACGCGCGAGAATCCCGCAACATCCCCTAATAAGCCCCGCAGCAGCCCGGAAAGGGGCGAGGGGGGATTATAGGGGGGTGTGGGGTTCACGAACCCGCGACCCTGTGGTCCAACCCTCCCGAAAAAGGGAGAGGGGGGACTATAGGGGGGTGAGGGTTCCGCGCGACGACCAGCCCTGGTCGCGCCGGTTGAAAAGCTGGGTGCGTCACAGGGTGGGTCGGTGTGCGAGTCCCCGGAGCACCCTCGAGTGCGATGATGGGGATGTGGGGTGAGGGAAATGCAGTGACGAGGAAAAAAGGGGTGGAAAGATATGAGGGGGAGAGATAGGGATGGTGGGAGAGAGATAGGGGTGGTGGGAGATGTAGGGGGAGAGATAAGGGGAGGGAGAGGGATAGGAGTGGAGCGATAAGGGGAGGGAGAGAATGGGAGGAGAGAGACAAGGGGAGGGGAGAGATAGGGGGAGGGATGAGAGAGGGGGAGAGAGACGGAGGGAAGTGATGGATATGGGAAGGACGCAGCGACGGGCGCGGGCGTAACGTTATGTGCGTAAAATGCGTTTAGTGTCCTTCCCTATCGCTTCCTTCCGTCAACCATCCTTCCCTCCGTCTCTCTCCCCCTCTCTCATCCCTCCCCCTATCTCTCCCCTCCCCTTGTCTCTCTCCTCCCATTTCTCTCCCTCCCCTTATCGCTCCACTCCTATCCCTCTCCCTCCCCTTATCTCTCCCCCTACATCTCCCACCACCCCTATCTCTCTCCCACCATCCCTATCTCTCCCCCCTCATATCTTTCCACCCCTTTTTTCCTCGTCACTGCATTTCCCTCACCCCACATCCCCATCATCGCACTCGAGGGTGCTCCGGGGACTCGCACACCGACCCACCCTGTGACGCACCCAGCTTTTCAGCCGGCGCGACCAGGGCTGGTCGTCGCGCGGAACCCTCACCCCCCTATAGTCCCCCCTCTCCCTTTTTCGGGAGGGTTGGACCACAGGGTCGCGGGTTCGTGAACCCCACACCCCCCTATAGTCCCCCCTCGCCCCTTTCCGGGGCTGCTGCGGGGCTTATTAGGGGATGTTGCGGGATTCTCGCGCGTATCTCTCCTCTCAATCGAGATCGAGGGGAGCATGCCTGCCTGGGGTCTCAAATTCGAACGGATGTGATTCCGTGCATACCTCGTTCCACAGCGTCAACAGTCACGCTATTTTGCGTTTTGTGTCCGGAGGTATGAATCGAACTCGGTACCCTGTTGACATGAAGCTAGCACGCTAGCAATACGCCAACACAGGCCACACCGAATCTGCTTTTTTTCGGCCTCATGACCTGTTAGTTTATTAAATCTAAATTTTATTTTTGTGCTATCTTACAATAAATAAATTCCACGTTTTCCATTTTTTGTACCGAGGTATGATTCGAACTCGGCACTCCTTGGGTACGAATCCATCACTCTACCAATTACGCCAACACAGGCCACACCGAATCTGCTTTTTTTCGGCCTCATGACCTCTTAGTTTATTAAATCCAAATTTTGTCTTTGTGCTATCTTACAATAAATTAATTCCTCAACGCGAACAGCACTACTTCTTTCCGTTTTTTGTCCTGATGTATGATTCGAACTCGGTACCTTTACGGTACGAATCCATCACTCTACCAATTACGCCAACACAGGCCATACCAACTCAAATTTTTTTTGGCCATATGAACTGTTAGTTTTTTTTTCGTTTAAAATATATAATATCACCTACTTTGTAACGGTTCATTAATGTGATCGTCGTGGCGTCGCGCGTTGGGAGGTGGGAGTCGCTGGAGAGGACAGGGTAGCAGGTTCGACACGTGGTAAGGTAAGCAAGGTAAGAGTACATTAGTTAGTTCTTAACGTAGGTAAGTATTAGGTTAAGGTAGTGTAAGGTTATGGTAAGGTAGTGTAAAGTAAAATAGGAGATGGTAGGGTGGAATATGGTAAGAATATTAATGTAATTAATGTAATAATTAAGCGAATAAAAATTAACATGTATTAATAATAATGAAGATATTCTTGTGCAAAAGAAGAAAATAACACAAGACTGAGAACTTGGATTTTTTTTCACAAGTTATAGTTAAGTAATTTTTTTTTATAAGTATAGATAAGTAAAACTTACCAATATTCAAAGTATAATAAATAAAATGAACTAATTAAGACTTTAAATAATAGTATAATAGATTAAAGTGATTGAAAAATGAGTGAAAAACCATAGATTAGTCTATTTAAAATGGCCAAATTTATAACTACATTAACAATATTAATCATCATAGAATTAGATTACAAAAATTATATTATATGAAATTTATCCAAAATATTAAATCCTCTTCGAAGAACGAATTAATGAGTATATTAATGTTTATGATAACATTAGCTTATCAGTTAATAGTACCTGCACCTGTACGGTGTGTTTCTAATATATATAATACTGAATATGGTGTGAAATGAAACACTCCAAATAAAGTTTAGTTAGTTTTATTCAAAACTCTTATTGTATCACAGTATTTAATAATACAATTATATTAATTTATTCTTACAATTGCAGTAATGAAAACGACTAAAATACATTAACATTTATCTAATTGTATAATATATATATACAATATATATATTGAAATGTATTGGGGTTGTTGGTAACGTGGTTTGTATTGACCTCCTAGTCAATACAGCCTTGCCGAGCGGTGGTTATAGTAATAGTAGGCTTCGGATTGCCTTGAGTTCTTTATTAAAATATTGGCTGAAATATCTTGTCACTTCTAAAGAACAACACTGATTGACTATTTTTAACAATACTTTATTAGCACCCACTTACAATGATTATCTTTATACGACTTTATATACTTCTAAACTGGGACTACAAACACCTTACGATGGCGTATTTAAAATATTTGCTGATTGTGATAATGACTGCAATCGATATCGAATTGAGCATCGCTCTTACACAATGCAGCATTATCGATTGCTATTATACAATATATGTATATATATATATATATATATATATATATTAATATTAACACATGGTGATATTAAATTAAGTGATAGTTATAGCTAAGAAAAAGAGTGCACCATTTAAAGAAATAATAGAAAGTGTAATATTTAAACAAGAGAAAACATCGGTCCGACGTATTAAATGTTTAAGGCACTCGACTAACATAAGTGTTTGAAAAAAAGCAAAGTCTATTGTCAACGCGTTTCTACCGAGTCAAAAAGCAAAGGTATAAAGAGCTTAACCAAGATGCGGCAAGATGGTTGCAAACAGCCAAACAGTAAAGAAACTGTTTTGCACAATTGTCTACACTAAAAAGTGCACTTAATAAGTATCCCTATTGATAACACAAGAAATTTTTGTTATCAAGTTAGAAATGTTTAAATATCTTCGTAATTTACGTTACAGCATAATGTTTTTTGGCCGTAAAGTGGCTCATAATTAAATTAAAACAACAAATTGAATTAAATACAATATATTTATTCATTATTTCATTAACATTTATGCACTTAACTAATCTATATATTATATCACAGTAGACACCTTCCCTGACGACAAGACGGAGGTAGTTACTTGGGACGACATAATTATAGTAGTTCGAGCGATTGTTTTTGCTGGAGAACAAGTCTTGAGTAAGTTGAGAGTTGAAGACTACTTGGCTTGAAGTTGTTTACCCTATGAACAAAAACAATGAATTAGTAACAAGTCTCATAAAATATACTATAAAAAATAAATTACCTGATAAATCAATCAGCGCTGTCTTTCAAGCAACCTCAGCAAGACATTCATTGTAAAACTCAGCAAGTGGTTTTTATAATAACTGATTAAGTTAGTGAGGTTAGTCGTGTTAGTGATTTAGTAAGAGTTAAGTTAATCATGCATAATTATAGGCAGTTATTAAAAAAAAAACCACTTGCGAATCATTTACATGAATGAGTACTCCAAACTCGTGATGTTTTAAGCATCAGAGGCAGTGATAGCTAAACTGATAAAATCTGCAAAAAAGAAACATTTTAATAAAGTTTGCATTTATACTGGTTATGGATAAACACACACCTGGTACAATGTTTCTGGAAAGATTCCTGGTGAAGGAGTCAGAGTGCAGAGCGACAGCAGTTGAAAGGACCTGAAAAAAAAATAAACATGTTATTTATTGTTCATATTTGTACTGGTTATGGATAAACACACACCTGGTAAAATGTTTCTGGAAAGATTCCTGGTGAAGGAGTCAGAGTGCAGAGCAGCAGTAATAAGTTGTAAAATATATGCAAAAATAAATTAAATATTAAAAAAATGAACCTTATATAAAAATAATGATAAGCTAAATATTGATTATTAGTCACTTACTTGAACTTACTCAAAGAGAATTTTCTCATAGTTCTTTGAAAATTTCTGTGATCATAAAAATGACTACGTTTGCTAAATCTCTAAGTTGTTCATACTTTGAATGCTTTCCAAATATTTCAATCGTATCAATCCAGTTGTCCATGGTGTTGAAATCACAGTGGCTGTTTAAATATGCCTAAAAACAAATTATAAGGTTACAAAACGGCAAGTTTATTATATGACATATGAAGTATTATTCATCAATAATAATATATTGAATGTAAACTGCATTTTCATCCTATACTTGGCTGTTCAATACTTAATTTGCTTGGTATGATATATTGTAGACTTCATATGATTTCATCTTGATGCCCAGAAATATACTGTAGAAATTTACTAGCAACTTAATAATTGCATTTGGTTTTATATGAAATGCATTAACAAAAATTGAAAACAGTGAAAATTTAAATTTAATGTAATACATCAAATACACATTGCATAATCCTAAAAGATTCAAACGACCATATTATTTATTAGTAGTTAAATAGATTAGTGTCTGTTAGTGTTTGTTAGTATTATTAGTTAGTAAATGGATGCAAATCATGCAAATGGTCATCGGAATCGTAAAAGCTAACCCTTTAATGATTATGTAAATTTGTAAAAAATGAAGCAAAAACTAAAATTATCAATTAATATCTTGGGTCAATTCACTGTTTAATAAATACATTCGTGCCAAATGCAATTCCAATAAAACCAGAATGAGTGCACTGCAGTAATAATATTAGCATGGAAACTGAAAGATTCTGCACAAAACTACTGTAGTAACTGACTGCCCCAAACTCGAACATACCTACACCTGTAATATACAGAAATTAGTATTAAATTATGCTAAACACTAATGGAGATTAGTGAATGATGTTGATACGTCACCAAAGCTGCCTTTGAGTACAATTCAGTTGGTCCAGATAATCATAGAATGATTGTGGTCAAATATACGCAATTCTTGTTATCTACAAATCGAAGTGAGTTAGCGCCTGGTGATAATATAAATAAATATTAAAATTGAATAATATATACACATATACTCACAAAATACCCAAGTATCTTAATGATAAAAATGTTTATAAAATAGCGGTTGAATTTATACAATAGTGAATAAAAAATATTCCCGGAATTCTTATAACCGAGTTCAAAATATTCACAAATTTCGAATACGTTGCACAAGGTCCGGCAGCCTTTCGATTGTAAACTCTTGCATAATCAACGAAATAATTTTATTTAACAGTAGACATTATGAAATGAAACATATCCGGCGTGCGTCTATGGCACTAATACGACTTTAGTATTAGCGCAACACATTAGTCGAACACGAAATGTAATCCGAGTGAATCCGTAAAGCGAAATGTATTTAGCACAAGTACAACGTACCAAATTATAGTCCAGGCAGCAATTGGCAGGGAGGCCTCTTTATTCCACGATGTTTGTTCGACCAACTCCGACGAGAAAATGAATGAATTTATGCCATGACATCCCACAGACTGGCATAAACCATAGATGTGCAAAGGAAACTTGTAGATGTGCGACTGCAGAGCGTGCGAGTTCGTTCGGTCGAAGATGGCGTTTCAGTGACTCGAACGCCTCTTTTTCGGAAACTCGAACCAATTTTGATTTAAATCTTTAATTTTAACAATAAAAGTGTTGTAAATTAAATAAATCAATGATTTTTGCAATAGTTGTTAATTCACAAACAAATAAACTTATTTCATAACAATTTGTTTAAATTATCCGTTCTTATAACAGTACATATTTAGTGAATGATTTGATTAATGCAATAAATAAATTTTGTGTAAAGTAAATAAATAAAAGGTTTATCTGGAGACCTTTGTGAATTTGAAGTGATATACAAGAAATGAAAATAGATTCTTTATTCACATTATTACATTTTTCTATAAATAAACAAATTTTGTTTATTCTCGTATAATGATTTCAAAAATACGACAAGATGGGAATACATGAGTGCAAGTCAGCTTCATAAAAAATACCTGGTCTAAATATATATCATAATATATTATTAACAACAGTGGAATACTAACAGTTTTCGTATTTTAAATATTTATTCATTAATCAAAAACCAGTAACATATAATATTTAATAAATATAATAAAATAAATAGCACTTTTATGATAATAACAATAATAACAGCTAAATTAAAAAATAAAGTACAGTTTTAAATAGAAATTTCGGATCTGGTTTGACTTGTTTCGGTATCTTCGTTTTGGGAAAGTTCTTGGGAATCTGGTACCCTAAATAAAAAAATTGATATTTGAAAAAACAACTTGTCACTAGTTTAGTTTTATTATTACCTCAAAACGATGTCACATGCAATTCCAGTTTTTTTAGCCAATTGTAAAATTCTTTGGGACCAACTTTCTGCTAATTTGGAGTGATGTGGTGCCAATTGGCTATCTGCCATGACTCCCATACGCATTTGAGAACCATAAGTTTGAAATGTTATAGACATACCTGAAAAAAAAATTATGGTTGATAAAATTATGATGTAATTATTACATTAATATGTTATATTTAACTGATATTAGCTTGAGGAGGTCTCCAGTACATAACTCCGGTAACTTCGTGACCCCATCTTGTTTCCATCGGACATTTGGAGAAACCATTGTGATCTTCAGATAAAAGCTAACAGACAAGTTTTTGGTAGAATTATTAGAATAAAATAATACAATAATGATTTTTTTACCTCGTCTTCTTCAAATATGGCATCATCCAGTGCATCATCGTCAAATCTGGGACCGACTTCTGTAAATGTGACTGCAAATTTTCTGCTCAAATAGTTTACTGCTAATTTTGAAAGAACTCCTGGTAAAGTTCTTGTTATCAAACCGTATTTGGTTTGAATGAGGGAAAGGCAGTACATTGCCTTCTGGTTTATTCTACTGTGTTCCAACGATTCTGAAAATGATAATAAATGATCTTGAAAACCCTCGACAAGGAAAATTTGATTTTTTGTACTTGGTAAAAATATTCAATTGAGTTTTTTTAATACCAATCTTATTTAGGATATTTTGAACTTCCCGAAGGAGAAGTTTATGTTCTCACCAAAAAATCCGATTCGCTAATTTTATGTTTTCTCGACGTTTCAAGCCATTCTGAATCGAATGAGACCAAATTTGAAAAAAGTATGTATGTGTGTGTGTGCGTGTATGTGAACAGATTTTTTGCCGTAAATGGGCCGATTTCAAAAATTTAAAAGCCATTCGATGTATCTCGACGAGGACTATTATTTGTCAGTTTTGTGCGACGATCGGCCATGTCGTTTCTATATAATTCGCAGAAAAGTGAATGTTTTTTGACCACTTTTTAGCCTGCAATTCTGAATCGATTTTGAAAATTCAAAAACCGTTCGAAAGATATTAATTGGGAATCGTGCTGATTAGTTTTTGGTAAAGATCGTCCGGGGCGTTTTCTTGTAATAAAGTTTTTTTAAAAAAAATTCGACGATTTTTATTATTATTTTTTGACAGTAGATACCATAGTCTTCTAGATTTAGATCATAATAAAATATAACGGCTCTACAACAACTCGTTTAACTTTAAAAATTCATCAAATTTTGCAAAAATTAGTATCGTTCTTTCGGCATTTGTCAAAATTAGACCTTTGATCGACGTTTTCTCAAAAACGCCTGAACCAATTTCAAAAATTTAAAAGCCAGTTGATGTATCTCGATGAGGATTATCGTTTCTCAGTTTGGTGCGACGATCTGCCAAACCATTTCTTTGTAATTTGAAAAAAAAAAGTTAAACTTTTCGTCCACATTTAAGCTCAAACTACCGAACCGATTTAAAAAAAATCAAAAACTATTCGAAAGATATTAGTTGGGAATGGTACTGATTAGTTTTAGGTAAAAATCTACCGAGCCGTTTTCTTGTAATTAACTGTTGAAAAAAAAATTTAAGCCGATTTTTATGGAACTTTTTTGGCGATATATATCAATGTCTTATACAACTTATTGAAATATTACGGACTTACGACAAGTAGTCTTATTTTAAAAATTTATCAAAGTTTGAGAAAATGAATAGTTTTTTGACGTTGATTAAAATTAAAATTGGACGATTTACTTGGTATAACAATAGAAATAATGAACATACTAAACAATTAACATCTTACAAAAACTGGTTTAATTATAAAAATTATTGATTTTTGGAAATTTGCTTTTAGAAAATACTCCGAGTTCGTTTTCAATTATGTGTAATAGATCCACTCAGAATACTTTTAGTCGCTCATAAATTAATTTATATTTTATTGATTAAGTCGAGTATCTACACATTTCGGGAAGTTCATGTAACTTGCCTCAAGGCTAAATACCAATACCAA